GTTGCTGGGTCACCCACAGGGCGCTAGGTCCTGGAAAAACAATCCTGGAATCTGGCAAGACCATCAGGAACAAGAGTAGGTGGCAGTCTCACTGTGACACCTTTTCTACAGCTGCTCCTTCCTCTATCAATGAAAGGCTGACTTCTCTGCTGCCCTCCAGTTCCTCGGCAGGAAAGGGACCCCAGCCTGCTCTCCCAAGCTGCAGACACAGGGAAAGGCCACAGCACATGGCCCTGCTCCAACTTACCCTGCCTACAGGACAATCAGCCAAAGTCTGAGTGCTGCCCACACCCAGCCCTGTCACCACAGGGGGGACTCGTGTCCAAGGCCACCATCACACAGGAGCACCAGGAGCTCTCCAAAGCAGGATTGCACCAAGCCAGAGCCCACAAACAAGACATTCACAACCAGCTAGAAAGAGTATTTTATTTTAGCAAAGCTAAAGAACTGCTGGGGGCAGTTCTTTCTGCTGCCACACAGAAAGTGAGCAGAACAGCACAGTCAGTGCCAGTGCCAAAAGAGTCTTTCATGGACAGTTAAACCCTCTCTGCCTAGTGAGGGTTCTTCCTCCATCACCAGAGGCTGTTTCAGTTCGGAAAATATTCACATCAAGCCTGCACTTGCAGGTAAACCTGAGGAAAAAGAGCAGTCACTGAACTTCCATTTTTTCTGGCTTGAGTGATGCAATGAAATTCTTGTACTCCTCAGGATAGAAATTCTTGTACACATTGATCTTTTTCTTTATCTGTTTGGGAGTATCCTGGTAGTAGTTCTTCTCATCCCGAGCCATTTCCTGCGACAAAGCACAAGGTAAGTGAGAGGAGCAGCCCCAAGAGCAAACACCAACCCAGCCCACCCCCACCAGTGTGATCACTGCCTGACTCAGATGGAGCTGGCCACAGTTCAAAGTGGTTTTTTCCTTTAAGAATCAGCTAACTGCAAAACAGGATCCAGGACAGAGAGGATTAGCAGTTCTCATGCTGCTGTTTGGTAAATCCAGGAGTGAATCCCTTGCTCTGGACTGTACCTTGTAGTTCTCCCCGTGGTTCTGGATCATGTATTTCACATAGTCAATGAGGTCCCGTGACAGCGTGTTCGACTTCTTCTCAGGGAGGCTGGCCTCCAGTTCCATCTCTGGGCAGAGGGCAGAGGCAGCATGAGGGAGGGGAAGGAAGCAACAACACCTTAGAGGTCTCCAACCTCCCCTCAAGGTTCACCCCAGCCACACAGCCTGGCTGCTGGTGCATGCAGGGACGTTTCCCAGCAGGTTGGTGCAAGAGAAAGGCCCAGACAACACCCAGGCCTGCACTGCAGCTCTTCTCCAGCTCACACAGGAGCAGACCCTTTCAGCCCAGGCTGCTCAGAGCTGCCCAGCCCACCACTGAAACACCAGGCACTGCCTCCAGGGCTTCTTGTCACCCTGGAGCCACGTACCAGCGTATCTCCCAGTGACGAGAGCCCTCTTGAGGCTGCAGGGACAAACACTGTGGAAAAGACATGATCCCCCACGAGGTTGGATAAGAAACAACACCCTTCCCTACCCCGGCACAGCACAGAGTGACAAAATAGCCCAGAGGGGCTCAGGAGAGCCCCAAATGCAGCACTGACCATTCACCACGTATGGCTTCCGCACTATTTTCTTTCCTGGCTGTTGTCCATCACTTTCCACTTCCATTCCCTGAATTATAGCAGAGAAAAGACAAATGAAGAAAAGCACAATTGGAAGAGCACTGTGTCCTCACACATTGTTCCCAAAATTCCAAACTGCTTCTACATGGCTGCAAAGGGCAGGAATCCCAGCTGGCTTAAGCAGAGCTTTACTTGTGCCATTAAATTGCTTGTGGGTGAGGCTGTCAACTGAGAAACCCTGTGTGAATGGAGACAAATGGCAAACAAGGTCATTCCTACTTATTCCTTCAGCTTCTGGGGGCCACCTTTCACCTGAAAGTGTTGCCTTCTTACGCAGATGGGCCTGGCTGGCACTGCTGTACACAAAGAGCCCTTCTTTGTTATCAGGAACAACTTGGCTGCAGCGCTCCCAACCCCCCCCCCCCTCGTCTCTGGCAAGTCCCAGGACTGACGTTTTTATATTTGTTCTAAAGTCCATTATGTCTGCGGAGGGCTGTAGCTCGTTCCCACGCCAGGATCTTGGTGAGATAAGCGCGTAGATCAAGATAAGAAACTTGGCCAGTGCCAGAGACTCATCCGGACTTAACCTGCCCAGGATACCTCCCGCCACAAAGGAGCGGCCAGGGCCAAACCCTCCCTTACCAGCTGCTTCTTCGGAATGGGGACAGCCTTGTTGGGATCCTCGGCCAGGCCCATCTCGGCCAGGTTCTGCGCCACCGACTTGTGCGGGTCCCAGGCATGGCGGATGTGCGAGCTGCGAGGGGACAAGCGACATCACG